TGATACAAGACAAATGACTTTTAAATATCCCCTCTTACACTCCTATTCCCATATATTCCCACGAACTAAACAGAAATTGCATAATTTGCCATTCCCGAAAATTAACTTATTGTAAACGAGATAAATTAACTCCACGCGCGCTGATTGGCTCGAAAACTGAACGAGTGCGCAGCGTCGGGAATGGGCGCGTTCAGCAGCAAGCCGCTCAGTAGCGGTCGAACGTGAATGGCTCTTACTTTTAGAACCAATCAATCAACGCAGCGTGTTGATAAGACGAACTCAACAGTTGTGTCTGCTGAACGCGGCCAATGCTTCATCTATCTACTTACACCAGTTACACCATGGCCGCGGCGATACCCTCTCGGCAAGCGTTCGCGCGGGAAATTGCGGGAAATTGAGCGCCGAGCGGCTCGTGAGGTTACCTGCGGGCTGCGTACGCGGACTTGGAAGAATTTGATGTAAGATTGTTGTGATTTTTCCCGTCAACGATGTCGAGTCCTATGAGACCGCCGAGGACTCCGGTTCCGCAGGACGACAGCCGTTCGCCGAGTGGCACGCCGAGACGGCAACCTCGGACCCCAACCTCCATCAGGACTCCCTCGGTCGCTGGAACACCCAGTGTCACCGGTACACCCAGTGTCGTCGGCTCCGTCAGAGGTTGAGGAATACCCACGATATGAGATAGTGATATATTCCATTCAAGCTGTTACATTCGTTTTTCTTCTTGTCACACGTAGGTACACCTCAGAGGAGACCGGGCAACAATCCAGTAGACACGCCGTTACGATGGGGCAACCGTCAAACGCACGAGACCATCGCACCGTCGTCGGAGGGGTTGTCCTCCGTGCCACTGTCCTCTCCGAATCGACAGGTGCAGACGAGTCCTCTCGCCGCTGGTATGAGCGAGATAGAGCTGTCCTCTCCGCTGAATTATGGAACCCCTAGCTCTTTGGCGTCAATTCGTACTCCCCGCAGTGGTGTCAGAGGTACACCTGTTCATCAGAGACCAGACGTTCAGTCTGACAGGCGTGTGCGGCAAGTTAATCTGATTGAACCGGTAAGTTAAATGCATATAGCAATACTGAGATAAATGAAATTATTAAATTGTTAATATATAAATTTTATTGGCAGATACCAGAGAATGATGAAGACAGAGAGAGAACATCCGAGGGTGAGAACGGGGGCCCGCAATTGACAATCTGGGGCACAAATGTCGTGGTGGATCGTATCAAGCAGCAATTCAGACGATTTATTCTGTACTTTATCGACCCAGAAGCGGAGAACGACGAAATACCTGAGAACATGAATCTGTCAGAGCCGCTCTACACTCAGAAGCTCGAAGAGATACATATACTGGAAGAACCTTATTTGAATGTAAACTGCGCTCATCTCGAAGCATTCGACTCGCAGCTTTACAATCAGCTGGTATTGTATCCTCAGGAAGTTATACCGGCATTCGATCTAACGGCAAATGAGATATTCTTCGAGAAATTCCCCGGGGCAGCGTTGGAACACTCGATTCAAGTACGTCCGTATAATGTTATGCGGACCACGAGTATGCGTCTTTTGAATCCGGAGGACATAGACCGATTGATCACGGTTACCGGAATGGTCATTAGAACGTCAAACGTCATGCCGGAAATGCGAGAGGCGTTCTTTAAATGCATCGTGTGCTCCTTCACGACGACTGTAGTCATCGACAGGGGTCACATAGCCGAGCCCACGGTGTGCACTCACTGCAACAACAATTTCTGCTTCAATCTGATACACAATCGCAGTCATTTCACCGATAAGCAAATGATCAAGTTACAAGAATCGCCGGACGATATGCCAGCTGGTCAGACTCCTCACACGGTGGTACTCTTTGCGCATCACAATCTAGTTGACGCTGTCTCGCCAGGTGATAGAGTTTCTGTCACCGGTATATATCGCGCGTTGCCGATACGCGTTAATCCTCGGCAGTCCAATGTACGAGCTATCTACAGAACGCACGTTGACGTTGTCCACTTTAGAAAACAGGACTCAAAGCGGTAAGAGATGTATTCCTGACGAATACTTTTATTTTACAATATGTCTTTATTTTATCGCTATTTAAATTCTTATATATATTCTATTCTAATATTAATTAATATATTAAAGCTAAATTAAAATTAATATATTGAAATATGAATTTCCAAAACGGATTTACTTCATACTCCATTTCTCCAATCAGTTTTATAAATATTAATATATTATATTCTTGTTCATTTTTGTTATGATTTATATCGTATGTAGATTGTACGAGCAAGAGGACGGCAAGAGTCATGCGTTTCCACCAGAAAGAGTGGAACTATTAAAACTGCTGTCGCAAAAGGAGGACATATATGAACGAATGGCGCGGCACATTGCTCCCAGCATTTACGAGAATGAGGACGTCAAGAAGGGTATACTGCTGCAATTGTTCGGCGGCACGAAGAAGGAACAGAGCGTACGGACTAAGAAATATTTCCGGTCCGAAATTAATATACTTCTATGCGGAGACCCGGGTACGAGTAAATCGCAACTGCTACAGTTTGTTTTCAATTTGGTACCGCGCTCGCAGTACAGCAGTGGAAAGGGTAAGTGATTTTTGATAGCGATAATTTTAAATCTAATTTTAGCTTTCGTTTGCATATTCATGTTTGTTATTCTTTCCTCAGGTTCCAGCGCCGTGGGTTTAACCGCCTTCGTAACGAAAGATCCCGAAAGCCGTCAATTGGTATTGCAAACTGGCGCTCTGGTGCTCGCGGATAATGGTATTTGTTGCATCGACGAATTCGATAAAATGAACGATAGCACGCGCTCGGTGCTGCACGAAGTGATGGAGCAGCAAACGCTGAGTATTGCGAAAGCGGGTATCATTTGTCAATTGAATGCGAGAACTAGCATTCTGGCAGCGGCTAATCCTTGCGAGTCACAGTGGAATAAAAATAAGACAGTAAATATCCATTGACGATTATGCATATTTGATATCGAGCTAATGAGCATTTGTGAATAAATTTTTTACATTCGTTTCTAGGTAATAGAAAACGTCATGTTACCGCACACGTTGATGTCACGCTTCGACTTAATTTTCCTGATGCTCGACCCGCAAGACGAGGTGTTTGACAGGAAACTTGCCAGGCATTTAGTATCGTTGTATTATAAATCTGAGTTGGAAGAAGAGGACGATATTGTGGATATGAGCATCCTGCGTGATTACATAGCCTACGCCAAGGAACATGTTCATCCTACTCTTAATGAGGAAAGTCAACAGAGGCTGATCCAGGCTTACGTCGATATGCGTAGAGTAGGAAGTGGTCACGGGCAAATCACGGCTTATCCGAGGCAATTAGAGTCACTGATAAGACTCGCCGAGGCGCACGCTAAAATGCGATTCAGCAGCGTAGTGGAGATCTTGGATGTCGAGGAAGCTTGGAGGTGAGAGACAAGATGTAATTAATAATATTAGAAAAATAAAATAATATTGGAAACATTATTTGTTTATGATAACGCAACTCCATAATTATCATCAGATTACATCGCGAAGCATTGAAACAATCTGCCATCGATCCACTGAGTGGCAAAATCGATATAAGTATCCTAACGACTGGCATGTCGTTAGCAGCGAGAAAGCGTAGGCAGGAGTTGGTCGAGGCATTGAAGAGGCTTATCAAGGGGAAGGATAAGGCACCGACATTAAATTACCAGAAAATTTTCACGGAACTGAAAGAATCGTCCAGCACGGTAAATTGATTTGTCCGTTATTATTCGTGCGTCGTTTGCATTATTACGATTCTATTCATTTGCATTGTTAAGATTTTATTTTACCTTTAATACGCGTGTTGTGAAAAGTGTGCTTTAATTTCGCTTTTTATTTTTTAGTTGGTGACGCGCGAGATGTTCGAAGATGCTCTGAAGGAGCTGCAGGATGACGGTGTTGTAATTGTAACCGGCAAAAATACCATTCGCGTTTGTTAAAAAAAAATAAATTTACCTTTGCATCACATTCTTTAGAATAGTAATAGTGATATTATACAAATATAACTAATAATCCATTGGTACTATCTTGGTAAATCTTGTAAGAAATATTGATTGCTAAAATATTTTTTATATCGAAATATTTTTATTTTTGTAATAACAGTAAAAAAATTTTAATAACCGATAATTACGAAGAATTATAATTTATGATGCTATATAAATATTTTCTATTTTCTAACTGTTTCTCGAATTGCTATTTTTGCTTTCAGTAAAATACAATACTTCAAAATTTATATAATGCCGAATCTTCACGCCGAATATATTATACATTTTTTATGACGCGTTATGTTTCCAAAAGTCTGTTTTATATCGGCTTTCAGAATTTACTTCGATTGGAAATGAAGATTAAATTTTTGCAGTGGCTAGAGTTTGAGAAGGCACACACACATTGATTTGTACATATTTATGATAAATTCATTGCGTCTTGAATCAAGGTGGGCGTTCTACGATCACGTTTTCTCGGTTCTTTGCAAAATTCTATCGTAATTGTTTGCTCGACAAATGGCTTTTGCACTAGGTAATTGTTAATAATAAAACAGTAACGATTAAACGCGTATTAATTGCGTATCAATAATTTGAAAAGTCTTGTAGACATAGATGTGTGTGCGTAGAGATGGATGTGTGTATTTAAATTCCACGCCTACGCCTCGTGCGCGGAGGCGTCCCGGCGGAGGCGTCGTACTACGTTTTGCTCTTGCGATGACCTTGGAAACTCCCACGTTACTCTTAGCGCCGGGTGGTGGGGGACATTCGTTCATCGATGTCCCAGCCACCTACACCGGGCAATTTTCACCCCTCCGTACCACGATGCCCGCTGCGCCCGTAACGATCAATGGTGAGAGGGGAAGTCTAAGTATCCCCCGAATTATCGTATCCCAGGAATCGAGAAAGTGGAATTCGAGGAAATTTAAGGATACGCTCGCTTTCCGGAAGTCAGTTGTTAATCTTTTATTGGGGTAAGATAAGCCACCTTACAATATCACCCAATATACGCAGAAAGGGATGTTGTACGCATCAGATACATATTACGCCTGAAATTCATCAAATTGTTTTTAAGAATTCTCTTTCCTCCTTACTCTTTGTTTACAAAATTTCAATTTAGACCAAATTAACACTCTATTTAATTTTCCTAGCGGAGATTGTTTGCGTTTTTCCCGCGTATTCTTGGATTAAGCAGCAGCTGGGCTGTGTCACGAGAAAAGTTCTTAACAAGCGAACCGTTTTCCGGTAAATATTGCTTTCTGTTTGAACAGAAAGCTTTTAATGACAAAGTTACTTTATTAACTTTGTCATTAAAAGCAGGATAAATGCTTGATATTTCAGTCATCAAAAAATCCACAAAAGAATTTCTTCGCACGTGTCCCGCGTAATTGAGATTTTGTTCCGCTCGAAATTTAATTTCGCCGTACGCTATTATATTCGCTAATAACGTTATTTTCTCTCTCCCTTCACGGTAACCCATCGCAATATACGGCTTCGATTTCAAAGTTCTTCAGTATCAAAACTAAATTCGATACATTCCGTTACGAGTTCACCGGCGGCTGGCGTCCAATTTCGATTGTCATCCGATGCGCTCGGCGCGACTAGCCGCGCGAGAGTGCCCCATCTCCACCCTCGTTGCGCGGGGCACGCGTGCACGCGCGACTCGCCCCCGTGGGGATTTGCACACGTGCGCTGCGCACACCCCGCGCACCCTCGTCTATGAACGGCTAGCCTGTAACCGACCGCAGTCGCACGTGTGAGCGTAACCGGCGAGGGAGGAAGAGAATGGAGTCGCGCGTAGAAAGGGGGGACGGATGGCGAGGGGGATGAATCGAGAGAGAGAGGGCTCCGGGAGAGCGAGACGGAGGGAAAGGGGATGGAAAGAGGCGCGGATAGGGGGTTGCGCTCGATCGTTAAAGCGGCACGACTGCCCCTCCACCACGCGTTCCCTCACGCCCAAGCCGCCCATTCATAAAGTTGTGCCCACTAATTCTTAGCATCCCCCCCTCCCCGTTCACTCGTTTCCCCGGCATCGCGCGAATGTAGGGTGATTTGGACAACAGAGAACGATACAAACGATTCGTTTGCCCTTTGAATTTTTATTCGCATTCAATTTTTTCCGCGTAAAATGGAACAAAGAGAAGGCAAACGATGAGAGAAGATTGAAAACGATGAAAGGTCGTAAATTATAATTTGGGTCTTGATCTGTAATAAAAAAATGATTCTACATCAGACCAAATCTTTAATATCCTAAATGTTTGATGATCTCAGCCAAAGAGGTTCCGAGCTTATTCGTAGAAATCCTAAGGGAAACTGTAGATATAGTTGGACGGCGCGTCAATAATTTAGTATTTTTCATTAATAATATAACATCTAAACATCTCGCGTTCGATATCTCCTTTTCTGATTTTTTTTACAATGTTGCAGGACGAGAGGGCTTTTACAGCTGACAATGACGTTAATGCAGATTTTATTGCCGGCTCGACGGCCTTGCGCGCGATCCTGCCGCATAAATCATTCCCGTTTTATCGCGGCGAGAGGCCATTAGAGATCCGCGCCAATTAAAGATTCATTGATGATTAACGATCCATGACGTGTTCGCGCGAGAGGATTGACCGCGGAGCGGTCCTGCGCGGCGCCGACGCAACACCTGTTCCTCGGGAATGAAACCCCCGACTTGCCCGATCGACCCTGGCTGACGGCTGAAGGTCATCGTCGTCGTCGTCGCCGCCGCCGTCGTCGTCGTCCGTCGTCGTCGTCGACGGGGGGAGGTGGGGGGTGGTTGGGATGCCGCAGTGCTCCCCGTGTGCGAGCAAATAAAAGGCCGCCCGGCATTGAGCGGGTGCCTCCATTCATGGTTTCCGGGCGCAGGCGTACCGCGAGGAAACCGCATGGCGCTGCGCCCGGGGAAGGGGTCTCCGCGAGAGAGAAGTTCACCTACGCAGAGCCCCCGGCATCGCGATGCGTGGGCGACGTGGGTGATTCAGAGGTAGAGCGAGCCGGAGTAAAGGGCGGACGGTTCTGTTCCTTCGCGCGCTCGCGCCGGCTCCCGGCTCCCGGCTCCCGGCTCTCGGCACCGCTCGGCTCGCGACCCTCTCGGCACGACGGAGGGTGGCACGCGCCCTGGCCTCCGAGAGGAAGTACCACGAGCGAATCGCTCTGAAACTCTCCTCGGCTCGTCCGCGTGGTGCAGCTCCGCGGCTTTTCCGCCGGTCGGTTTCCGCTGACGTGTGACACGTCGAGTGAGTTTCGAAGCTCTCTCTCTCTCTCTCTACCTCCCTTCGAGAAGCTCCTCCCCCGGGCGAACCACCTGGGATCCTTGTGCCAAAAATACGCGCGCGGGAATCTCGCCCAGGAGCCGACGCTCGTCGAGAATGCGGCGCGGGAAACTCGCGGAACATACGCGATCGCGTCCCGACGATTGTTCTCGAACCTTTTGACTCCTTGTTTTTTGTTTTTTTTTTTCGAAGTTTGCGCGTTTTTTGCGCGTCGCAGCCTAGATCGCACGTTTTACGTCGAAACGACAGAAGTGAGAAAAGTTCAGTGGGTCTTTGCATGTAAAACGGTTGTTCACAAACGCTTTTGCGGTAAAGCTCGGTGTGCTGATTGCCATTTCGGCAATATTCACGTTTCATTATTTGTACGTTATTTCCGTAATTTTATTCCTTAAACGCTCAGTGAGCCTAATTATATTTATAATATATTATAATTATGATTAATAGTTATATAAATTTATATTTATAATTTTTATTTATTCCACAACACTCCGTTTTTTTGCGGATTCCCTAAGGATTTTGCGAGAAAATGAATTATACAAAATTCCTGCGACAGAGCTAATACTCATTGTATATCTTTTCCATTCTTCTATCAATTTACTATCTATATTTCTATCTATATTGCGGAAACTATGTTTGAAAGTAAATGTACATAATTTATAATACACATGATATCAGAATCTCAAATACTTATATATCTATTTGTTTGATGTACATGTAACACTTGTAGTTACGCACATTTTCTCCTAGGATATATGTGTACATAATAAATGCATTATAAATTATATATACATTTCTAGAAATGATTTTTACGTATAACGTCAACATCGTCTATTTCTAAGTAATTTGACACCTTGCCAATTACTACGTCTTGTATAATCAAATACGGTAATACGAAATTGCACTATGCAATTGTAGTAAATATGGATAATTTAAAAACTAGTCATAAAAATAAAAATTACATGTGATGTAGATCCGTTCAAATTTTCAGTAAAATACCGCAGAAAGCTGCGCCGAGGATTTTCCGTGGAATAAAAGAATTCTCGTAAATCAGCAGCGATGTTTCACTGAGATGGCGATCGAGAACAACTAACTTATACTAATGTCGTTATATCTAAAAGCTCGTAATCATAAAACACTCCCGTCCTACCTTCGAATGTACAAAGGGCAGTGAGATCATGTTATCTTAATTTACATTCGTCTTTAGTTAAAGAGCCTTGACCATGTATAAACTGAGCGGAGCACCAGTTGCTAATCCTATACCTAAGAAAGCACCCATCATTGCGGACGCAACTTCTTTTTCCTCACTGTCTACGACTCTATAAAAGTTAATACATACAATTGCAGGGAATGATCTTGCGACCGACGGAGTTTTATTGCTGAAAATATACTTACGTAGGCGTGAGAATAAACGTTAAATTACAGAGATAGCCATTGGTTATGGCGAACACAATAGTTATCAATATGTAATACATATCACTGTGAATGTAAACAGGTAGATGATGCCTCGGTTATGCATTGCAAAACATGAGCGCAGGTATGAAAATGCCCCTCGCGACGCTCATAAACATTACGAGCCACGGCTTGCTTCTTGGCTGCAATGATAAAAACTCGATAAACATCGCATAAACAAGTGCAAATGCTTGTAAATAGTATTGAAACGCAGATTCTCACCCACTGAAGAATACCAGATAATACTCTTCCTGCATAATCGCCTATACTGAAGATAAGATACGTAACCACAGGTACAAAGTATACGTCTGAAAAGTCATTACAAATTATACCCATGATCATTGCTCGAAATCCATAAAGCATTGAGGTATATTACAAAGATTTCAGATTACCGTTCCACGCATTGCCTTTGCCTTTGTGTTCGCTCTCCACTAGTACAGTGATTGCCTAGTACACAGCCAGCGTTATAAAAAATACTAAGAATATGCTAACGCCATAATGCCAGGTCCTCTTTAAAATTTGCGTGTAGGGCACACTCGAACTTGTCGAGAAGCTGACTTCGCCGTTTAAGGAATAATCAGATTCCAAACAATCAGGTACTTTCTCTATCGTGTGATGCTTGAAGAATGGCTGTGAATAAAAAAAATGCTATAAAGCGACGGTTCTTGAATTGAGCTCCGTAAACTTAATTAACAAAATTAATTAAATTTTGTGAAACAAAGCCTGCGCGATCAAGAGCGTTTGAAAGCCGCTGTATTAAATGGAAAAAAATCATATCTAATTTGATTTTATCTCTCCAACTATTTGTACAGTAATGATACATCGTGGAATGTATAAGTTTGGTTATTATCGTAAGAAGCTTATCATACATTTATAACACACTTGCGTCGCATGCATCATCGTTTAACGTCTTAACGAAACAATAAGTGTTAATGATGATCTCATACGTGTGAGATTTGCGTATGACTGATCCGGATTGAAGAAAACGTAGCACGATAATAAGTCCGAGGTGTGTTCGAACAAAACTGACTCACCGCTTTCTCCAAAAGGATGTACGCGATCAGCGACAACAGTAGCACAACATCGCCGATAATGAAATACACTAAGCCGGAAAGTACCGGACTGGCACCAATCCACAGGGAGCATATTTCCGTTAGGGCCGTGAATATTCCTCCAAGAGCTTGCCCGCCGGACATCGCGGTTATGTATTTCGGCGAAAACTTGCCCACTATGCACATTAAACTTCCTCCAAAAATTGCGCTCGCAGCTAGAAACGTATAATATTGCTGATCTTATAGCAGAACCAATTACTGTGGTACATTCTCGTTTTAAAATTCATTATTTAATAGCACATACACACCATTTACGATCGCAACTGTCGTCAAAGTAATTATTAGGAACGTATTTTGCCCTGGAAACAATCTTTCGTTATTTCTGAGTAAAATACATGAAAGTAATTATAATTATTACGATGACCGGATATAACGACAAAATAATTTGCTGGCTTACATTTGTCAGTGTCCATTTCGACAAATACAGTTGTCATAATAAAGAGCAGCAATATTATACATTGGGAACCCACCATTCTTACAGTTAGAGAGACTCTGAGAACAGTTAGAGACTAAATATAAACACATCGCTTTTACTTTTCTGATGTATGATTCAAAATTACTAGTCATTCCTGACTTTTCTAGGTATAAATATAAGACGAAGAAGAACTGAAACGAGATGAAACAAACTAATATTTTCTTGTATACGACTGTTAACTCTTGTCTTCAATTAAATGATCTCAAAGGCGAATGCTTTTAACTAAAAAAAAAATCAAGAATGCATAGTAATTTTGAATCACGAATAAATTCAGACATTTTTCAAACGTACGCTTGACAATTATTTTCTAACAATGATTTTTTTTGCTTACCTCTTGCTAATAAATGCATTTATTATTAAAAACAGAGTATTTGGCAATGCACTGGCTACACTTAAATAAGAAGTAAAACTAGCTTGGAGATCCGTCTTTTGTTCAAGTAGTTCTGCATACGTATGAGTCAGATTTGTCGAATTATTATGAATTTCTCTAAATTTGTACATCCAGTACTGAAAGAAAGACGTTATACAAGCAACAGTATTCCACACAAGCATGAGAAAAACAAAGCAACGCCACTTACGTCGTCAGCAGTGATAAAAAAACTCCATGGGATTAACGTATTTATCCCAAGTAAGTAAAACACAATGTACGCGAGATTATATCTGAAACATGCAAAAAAAAGATTACCAGATATAGATCCTAAACAGACTTCAATAAAAAGTGTCAAATTAAACCCAGGTAACTGGAACATACTTGTCATGTGGCTCGTACGGTTTCAAAAATGGTTTCTCGTCGGGAATCGTCACGTTAGGATCATCCACCTCGGTCTCCAAATCATCCTCAAATTCGCTATCAGACGCACCTCCCAGTAAGGGTCTTCTATTGATGGAGTACGACATGATTTCTCCCTGACGGATGACGAACTGTACTATGGACCACAAAACAAAAATATGTTAAGCAACGAAATAACTGCTTCTTTATGCAGATGCAGAATCAAGACAGAATTAATGCGTTACATTGTATGAAATGTAAATCTAATTTAAATGTTCAGATATTATGGATGCCGTGCATACCTTATCGAGAAAAACTTTCCTACTCGCGAGCCTGCATGTGAACAAAGAGCTTCTCCAAGCAAACACGTTTTTTCTTCGCAGAAAACGATACTTACTTACGGAAGCTGCGCGAAGGATGGGAACGTCTCAAGCGGGCAGTGGGATTTCCGAGCGACCGTGCGTAGCCCTGGAAAGCCGCGGTTGAAGCATCTCTGGCACGAGACCGGCGTTGTCTGAGATCACGCCCGACCAACGAGAAGATCACGAACACGAGCGGACAGAAGACGCCTCGTGCTCGTGATCTTTTTTGATCGTCGGATCGCAGTGCAACAGCCTCCACCTCGGTCCACTCTGGGCGATCGAGGGCACGATCTCCTGACCACTCCTGACTGGCCAATCTCTCCCGTCTACGTACAGCTGGCTGGCATTCTCCCGTTCTCCGACCATATCATGCACACCTCCTCCTGTCTTTGTTTGTGAAATGATTCCAGAGCTCAGATCCCCCACTTGAATCAGTCAGGCCAGAAGCCAGAACACCTCCTCCTGTGCAATGTGCATGACACGCCCCGCACCCCGCACGCCTTCACTTCTGCTCATGCTCGGCACGCATCGATCAGCTGGTCGAGCTGTGGTCACGTGGTCCTGGGGTCCTGAGGATCTAGGAGCGTGGGAGTGGGAGCTGAGCCGCTGAAGTCGATCCCATCATCTAGCGATAATGGAGGATTCACAC